TAATGCGTCTATCTCATATATTGGTTTCACCTTGTGAGTTGCCTTACTAACATAAATGAACATTTGCACAATATTCTAATTTTTCGAGTTTCACCTGTACACTGTGGGATGATGGTTGTGTATCCATCCTAGCCCTCCTTGATCCCTCAGTGGCTATTGATACCATCAATCATGGTATCTTTTTGAACCAGCTTAGGGGGATAGGAGTGGGGGACACAGTGTTATGGTAGTTTTGCTCCTTTCTGTGAGGTTGGTTCCAATTTGCATTGATTGGGGGGCAGAGATCAAGCTATAGTCCTTGCTCTGTAGGATACCTCAGGGCTCTACCCTCTCCCTCTCCCTGTTCCTGTTTAACATCTACATTAAACAGCTGGGTAAGGTCATCTGTTGGCATTGGGTGAGGTACCTGTACACTGATACTCAGTTACATGTCTCTGCCACTGTTCAACCAAATGATGCTATCAAGGTTGTATCTCAGAGTTTGAGGGCTGGGCGGGTCTGGATAGGGAGGTACAGACTTTGGCTGAACCCTAGCAAGACTGAATGGGGAACCTAAAACCCACAGCCTTTTCTGTCTTCAGTTCTAGATCAAGTGGCATTCCCCCAGAGAAAACTGATATACAATTTTGGGGTCCTCCTGGACTTATGGCTCCTGCTGGAAGAGCTGGTGGCAGCCATGGCCAAGAAAGCCTTTGCTCAACTTCATCTCATGTGGCAATTGTGCCCATTCCTGAATCAGGAGGCCCTGATCATAGTCACTCATGCCTTAATCACATCCTACTTAGATTACTACAAATGCTGCCCTCATAGATCACTCAGAAGCTGCAACTGGTTCAAAATGTAGCCGCATGAGTAGTTATGGATGTGCCTCTACTTTGCAAGCTTTATTGGCTTCCAGTAAGCTTCTGAGTGCAATTCAAGGTGCTGATTATCACCTATAAAGCTCTTAATGGCAGAAGGCATTAAGGTCTATCCAAATTTCAGGAGGCAAGCTGTGCCACAGGGCGGGTACTGTGACAGAGAAGGCACACCTCCTGATGTATTTCCTTTAGATCATGCCATTCTCTCCAAGCAGTTTATAACATTCTGTGTGTAATTAGCTAGTCTAATTATTTATATATTAATCATAGAATGCTGTAGACTTAAAACATAGGTAGATAACTTGTAGTCCTTGAAGGCATTAGGTGTAGCCTCCAGGTTCCCACTAAGACAGTGCCATCAAACTGTAATTTGTAATGTGACAGAAGGAAAATAGTATTACACACATAGGAAACAGTCTTATTGATTATATTTTAATTAAATTTAGCTTAAATGAAAGTCTATTTTTTGTCTTGGCCCCGTCTGTTCTTCAAAATGTATTTCTTGGCTCCCCAAAACTTCTGACTAAAAAAAATAATTGGGTTAAGAAAAAATTCAAGAAATTCAGTCAACTACGAATTTGTGTTTGCTATTAAGTAGCCTTTTACTTAGTATTTATATATTTTGATATGTGAAATATATATTTTAATGTTATGCCACATAAAAACTTTTGATGATAAAAAATGAAAATGTATCAGTAAGAACAACTTCAGAACATGTTTATTTTTTGGTCTTTTGTTGCCTAGCTTCATGTTTTTATAACAAAGCTTTCACTTTTCGCATGCTAGTTCTGAAATACTTTTCTCTTATAAATAATGGTAGGGTAGGCTTATACCTTGCACTAGGTCATAGCTGGTTTAAGCATTATTTTTCTGAATAAATCATAATTGGCTGGACTTGCCCAGGTGTAAATCATATTTCACTAAATATGGCTGGGTTCATATAATAAATAATGTTAAGTCAAAAATCATGTTATGATTTAGTATGATGTGTGAACCTAATTATTGATTAGCTCATATGAAAGATAGAGTGTAGCTTGTAAACTAGAATAATTCAGCAATATTTTAATGTCTTTTTACAGATCATATTTGAGCTGACCCTATTGTCAAAATGGTTTTAGCAGATCTTGGGAGAAAAATAACCTCAGCGTTGCGCTCCCTGAGCAATGCTACAATTATCAATGAAGAGGTATGTAAATTTTACGTATGTGATGCAATATAGGAAGCTAAGTAGAAAGAAATGGTTATTATCGGTTTGGCTTTGATAGAAAAGATCCCCATATTGAAGTAATAAGGTTGGAATTGATACATCATTAATTGAGATTCAGTGGAGGAAATTCAGTGAGTTGGTGCCATTTGCTAAGTAGGTGCAACTTGATTGTTACAGTTGGAATATTCATATTAGTATTCTTATTTCTTGTGCATTAATTTCTTTTTCAATTTTTATCTGTTCCTCAATTCACTATGTTTACAAGATTTAACCGTATGAAATTTTATCATTTTCTGTATTATTTTCCAACTAGTAAATGTTAAGCTAAAATATTCATTGGAGAGATAAATTGTGAATGTTAAATAAATTGTAGATACATTGTACAGAAACATTTTCTGTATTGTTCTTCTGCCCGTATAGGTTTTAAATGCTATGCTAAAAGAAGTTTGTACAGCATTATTGGAAGCTGATGTCAACATTAAGCTGGTGAAACAACTAAGAGAGAATGTCAAGTAAGTGAACCAAGCCAAGTAAGAATAATGTTGTTTTATCTCAATGTATATTGAAGTGTTAAATTTATTTATATTGTTACTGTTGCTCATCACTCTTAAAAGGAGGACATGTAAAGTTTTGAACTGCTGTGATCAAGAAGTTCAGTATTATATTTTTAATTAAATAATTGTGTTCAGCCAAACAATTGTTTTTCTGAATATTTTCTGTACTGTATATTTTTCCCAAGACCAAAATGTTTTGTATATGTTGAAGAATGGTACTTACAAAAATACAGGAAGGGTAACAGTAGTATATAAAGCTAATGTTAAAAATCAGAATTCTCCATTGAGAAAGAAGGCAAGAGATAAGAGTGGTCGTACATTCTGGGCCAATCTGCCAGAGCAAAAATAAATAGGAAGCTGGAACACAAATTGCAGTGAGATCCATTTAAATGATAATGCTTAAGCTGAAAAACTGGAAAGCATTAGTGTTTTTCAAACTTGGCAACTTTAAGATGTGAGGACTTCAATTCAGTAGGTGGCTGGCTGGCTGGAGAATTCTGGGAACTGAAGTCCATACATCTTAAAGCTACCAAGTTGAAAAACACTGATCTAACTATACCAAAAGGTAGGGATGGTGGGATGAGAGACTGTGAGGAAACCCCAGGATTGTAGGCTAAACTAGAAAATCCAAAAGCCTCCTGGAATAAGGCAGTAGTAAACCATTTCTGTATTGTTGCCGTGAAAACTACATGGATTTTGTAGTCATCAGGAACTGAATTTGATTTGAGAAAATATTTTTGCCTTATTTGAAGATAATTACAATGCTATGAAATAATGAAATAAATATTCAGAGATTTTTAAGGAAAGGCATAGTTCACTTAATATATCTACCCCAGATCCTCAGTATAATAGTGGAGCATAAATTATATTAGTTCAGTAGGACATTTAAGTCATCTTGTACTGATTTTTCCATATTTCCAATCATAGATCTGCCATTGACCTTGAAGAAATGGCTTCTGGACTCAATAAAAGAAAAATGATCCAACATGCTGTCTTTAAAGAACTTGTTAAGGTAAAATTAAAGTATTGTTTTGTAACCTATATCTGTAATATAGGCAAACATTCTAGGCATCCTTATTTCTCTTAACTGAGTATCTAACCAAGTCTATTATCTATCTCATATTCATATATCTATATGAATAATGCATGCCATTTTAAAGACATCCTTTTGCAATTATGGGTATGCATAATTTTAATAAGGCATGCTATTGATGAAAGTTGGCTACTTCATAGCATTACAGCAGTATAGATTTTATGCTGAACTAATTAGTGCTCCTTTCTACTTTAGAAATGTTGGCTCAGGCTAGTATGCTTTTTAATCATTAAATGTACTAGGTTGTTGACTAGGCAAGATCTGTCCTTATATAAGTTACACTAACACAGTTCAGGTCTTATGCCAAGTTACAGTTTGAACTAATTAAGGTTTAATGAGTTATTATACATTAAAAAGTATTTATTTATTCAGTGTTAAAAAGTGATAAAACTGGAGAACTAAAGCAATTTACAATCATTTGTAAAAAAATAATAATAAATTAATACAATTTAATAATTAGGTAAAGGTTTGTTCACTGAGACGTTGAGTTAAACTGTGTAGAAAGCCATGGAGTTGGCCTTGAAGGAAGTATTCAAAAATTGTTACAAAAGTGATGTCTCAGTGAACATATCCATCTTAATATGGCACTGACCATTTCTGTTCTTCTTTACCTTATATGATGAATACTGAGCAAGCAGAAAATCAACAGATCTAAACAATATCTATGCATTTAAAGATAAAACTCATAGCTGAGTTCTAAGTCAAAATTGTTCTTGTCATGTTAGAATTGAGGTATAGCTTAACGAACAGAGGTATATGCTTTGCGTCAAGTTTACATGGTTATCTTAGTCTGAAGGTTTATGCAATCGTACAGCAGAATTTTTATTCACTTGTAGCTAAAGCAGCTGCAATGGTTAACCAGGAAGCTGATCCCCAAATGCAACAAATGCCTGTGTGATATGTGAAGCTGCTTTTTGGAGGTATTAGGTAACAAAAAGGCCAATGTTGTATTTGCCAGAAGTAGCAATGCGGGTCATCAGTTTTATTTCTATAAAAGTAAAGCTTGATGTCAAGGTTGAAGCCTGGTGACATCACTGACGCGTCCATGTAGTTTTCTCAGCAGCAGTACAAAATTGGTTGGCCATTGTCTTCTTCCAGGATATTTGTTCAACTTCCCAGTCTGACAGCCTTGGTATTCTCTAGAGATCCCCTGTCCAAGTAGTAACCAGGCACAACCCTGCTTAACTTCTGAGCCAGATAAGGTCAGCCAGACAGTGTCTCCTACAGGGACTTAGTTCTGTAGCATCTTTTTTGAAAAATGAAAATACAGTGGTACCTCGGGTCATGAACGCTTCTGTTCATGACCAATTCGGGTCACGAACAGCACCGTTTGCAAAATTTTGCTTCCGTTCGCGAACTCCGCATCAGGTGACGAACAGGATCCGCGGCCATTTTCCCTGCTGACACATGTGGCTTCCTGTAGGGAGAGGGACTCTCCCTCCAAACAATAACCGCCTCCCCACCCGCCTTCCTGTCCTCCACGCCTCAAGCAAGGTTAGCGTTCTCTCTCTCCATACTGTACTGTACTGTACTTTGTGACATATTTTTGTGGTTTTAAAAAAAAAAAAATGTTCAGAACGGATTAACCGTATTTACATTGAACCTTATGGGAAAATTTGATTCGGGTCGCGGAACGAATTAAGTTCGTGACCTGAGGTACCACTGTACTGTATGTCAGTTCCAATAGAGGCGAATATGTGTAGCTCAGGGTTGAACT